CAGCTTTTCTGCGGATTGTTCTTCTCGTGGCAACCGACCCAGACAAGGAATGCGCACCCCCTCACAGCCCCTCAGGGAGGACCTCTTCTGTGGCCACTGGTCAGCCTCCCCTCGTGCCTCATGGACCACCACTGGCCACAGGCTCTTCATGCCAGTATGGGGTGTGGGGCCGGCAGGCCGGGCCTGGCCATATGCTCACACCCACCTACTCACCCTTCACTTTTTTTTAAGATTTATTTATTTATGCACACAAGAGCTGGGGTACAGGCCAGAGAAACAGTGGGGGAGGGGTGAAAGGATTCACCAGAGACAGAGAGGGGGCAGGACAGGCCAACCTACGAAGTCTACTGCTGAGGGGAGCAGCGGGGAGACAGGAGGAGTCTGCTGCACCCTCTGGATCACTCCCCAGAGTGACTGGGACTGAACTTGTGCGGCCGTTGAGTTTTCAGATTCTGGAGTCCCTGAGGTAATACCCTAAAGTCTCCTTCCAGCTCCAGGCCTCCCTGTCGTGTAACAGGTCAGAGTGCAGCACCGTGAAGCCGTACACAGCCCCTGCAGCACGAGTTCGATCCCCGGCCAGGGAGGGACCCACAGGGCATGGCAGACCTCTCCTGACCTGCCCGCTGCTCCCCTCAGCAGTGTGCTTCATCCATGGGCCTGTTCTGCTCCCCGCTCTGTCTCTGCTGGACCTTCTCAAACACCCACCTCTGGCCTGTACCCCAGTTTTGTATGCATAAATAAATAAATCTGAAGAAAAAAAAAACAAATAGGAACTTTAAAAAAGAAAGAAAAAAAAGGATCAGCAGTTCAAACACTATGATGTCTCAAAATTTTCTAGCAAGACAGGTCAAACAGAGCGGCTACAATAATCTAGGTCTTCCCCGGGCCCGAGGGAGCCTGGCTTTCCTCCCAGCGCGGCAGAGGCCGGTCTCGCTCTATTTAGCTTCCCGGTTGGTTTCAGACTCAGGGAGAACCGGGATCGGGAACGGGCGTTGGTCCGTAAGCCGGCCCTGGAAGGCCTGCATATTTTTCAAGAGGCAGGAGGGAGGCCACAGAGGTGGCTTCAGGCGGGGGTAGACCCCCTGGGACCCACCTCCCGGCCGTGTCTCCAGCGAGCCGTCTAGCTTGCGCGGTCTCCCAGCACCTTCTCTGGGAGCCAGTTTGTCTGAACAGGGGTCATCCCAGGCCTGCAGACGGTGGCAGCAGAGATCTGAATTAAAAAAATTTTTTTTTCAAAGATTTATTTATTTGTGCATACAGAACTGGGGTACAGGCCAGAGATGCAGGGTGACGAGAGGCTTCACCAGAGACAGAGTGGGGAGCAGAACAGGCAGATTGGCGAAGCCCACTGCTGAGGGGAGCAGCGGGCACGTCAGGAGGGGTCTGCCGCGCCCTGTGGGTCACCCCCTGGCGGGGATCGAACTCGCACTGAGGCGGCTGCGGCCAGCTCGCAGCGCTGCGTCCTAACCCGCTGCGCCGCCAGGGGGCGCCGCTTTCCTCTTTGACAGTGCAGAGCGGAGAACAGCCTGACCGTTTCTGATGCCACCTCGCATCGGCTTAGAAGACTGTGAACTAGAGTCTGCTCCTCTCTTGCGGTGACTAGTCACAGCCTACAGACAGGCAAAGACAGGTTGGCCGCAGTTCTGCCAGCCACGCTGGGCGGGTACCGCTGTGGGGGCGTCTGTAAAAGGCGGGGCGAGCGCCGTCGTCCTGGAGGCCACGGGGGGGCTCCCCACCTGCTCGGCTCCGGCCTGCCTGGGGCCAGCCGCAGCCTCTGGCCGCTCTGGGCCTCCGTCAGCACCGCGGGCTTCTCCGTGCTGCACTGGCGTGGTTCTTGGGCATCTGTTGTCCAGTCTCGCCGCCTCAAGCCCAGCTCCAAAGGGCAGTGCGCGGTGAGTGCGAGGCGGCGCCGGGGCCTGGCCGCCGGCCGGCGGGGAGAACAAGGCCGGCAGGAGGGAACCGCTCCTGCTGCTCGCTGTCCCCGTTTGTCGTCCGCACCCACATGCTGGCCGGCCTGCCAGTTCTACAGCTTGGACTTGTTGGTTCAGAGAAACCAAATCCTTTAAAAACTGTGTTTCCGCACTCCCTGTGAAGTGATACCCAGAAGCATGGGTCACCCCTCAAAGCTCGGCTCTTGGCTCTCAATCAAGGGCTCACCCTGGCTTTCTCAGATCTGAAAAGCCCAGCTCGGCCCCTGGGTGAGTGGCACGTGGCTAAAATTAGCCTGGCCATCTGCTGAGACAGCAGCTGGGCTATTCTGAGTCCCAGCAGGCCTGCTGGAGGTGGGGCTGGAACCGGGGGAGCAGAGTCGGAGGCCGGTCTCTGCAGACGAGGTGGACTGGACAGGGAGAAGGAAGCCGCGCTCGGGAGCGGCGTGGTCACGGGCGTCCCAGACGGCCAGTCGGGCACACAGCTCCCCTCGGCGCCCAGGACTCTTCTTCCCCAGTCAGGGGCCTTTGCATCTATCCTGTTTCTTGCTGTTTTTGTTTGTTTACGCAAGCTGGACCTTGCTGTTTACAGACTCCAACCCCAGCAAAGTCACTGTCTGGGACTTAAGCAATCATGGCTGAGATGCGCCTTGGGGCTTATCAAGTGCTTTATGGGGATTAGCGCCGATGTCCTCAGAACAACTCAGAGGTGGGTACCAGAAGACTGCAGGGCTCAGGCTGAAGAGGGCTGGTTCAAGGGCCCAGGTGGGCCTCCCTGGTGGCACAACGGGACGAAGCGCAGCACTTTGCAGCCACTGCAGCACGAGTTCAATCCCAGGGCAGGGAGTGACCGCAGGCATGACCACAGGGCGCGGCCACTGAGCCCTCAGCAGTGTACCTTGTGGATTTGCCTGTTCTGCTCTCTGCTCTGTCCCTGGTGAAGCCTCTCACCCCCCCCCCCACCTGGGCGTGTGCCCTACTCTGCATCTATTTATTTTACTTATGCACACAGAACTGGGGTACAGACCAGAGGTGCAGGGCAGGGGAAGATTCACCAGTGGGGAGCAGGCCAGGCAGATTGCTGAAACCCACTGCTGAGGGGAGCAGCGGGGAGACAGGAGAGGTCTGCTATGCCCTGCGGACCGCTCCCTGGCCAGGGATCGAACTCACGCTGAAGTGGCTGCAGTGAGCTTCACAGTGCTGTGCTTTAACTCGCTGCGCCACCAGGAAACGCCCTAAACAAATCTTTAAAATAAAGTAAGATAAAGGGGCCAGACAGTGGGAAGCCGTGGCTCAGACACCCCAGCAACTTGGGGAGGTTTGCTCCTCTGCTCCTGAACCCTGTTTCCCTCCAAATCGGACCCCTTCTTTTCCAGAAGGGGACAGCAGTACCCGTTTAGAGTTGGCTGAACTACAGGGTAGGGGTTTGGGGGACAAACAGAAACCTACAGCAGGGAGCCACGTATGGAAGCAGGACTCCAGGTTCGGACACCGAGGCTCTGACCTCACCAGAGATCCCAGACTTGGCTCACCTGTGGCCAGTTAGCTGCTTGCTTCAACCCTTGTTTCTACAACTGAACCGCAAAGCCGTTACCTGTAACTGCCCTCTGTCCACCCCTCACTTCTGCCCTCAGCAGAACCGCGGCTGACCCAAGCCCTCACCTGGCCGAGGGCTCCGCGGTCTGTCAGTTTTGGGCTCCTGTCCCCCCATGCGCTCTCCTGCTGGCCACGCGAGAGCTAGAGAGCTAAGTGCGTAGGGCCCCTGGGCTCGACACTTCCCACCAGCAGTGTGGCCTTCTAGTCTGGCCGGGGACTCAGTGCCGCCTGCTAGGGAGGAACCCAGACAGCAGGGGCCGCCCCTGCCCCACGTCAGGGGAACCACTGTTGCGTCTTAGGGGACAATATGTATATTTTTTATTTTATAACAGGTATATTTTTGTATCATTTTGTACATTTTTTCCCCCCATCTCAATTGTAATCCCCGCGGGGACAATATTTTTTCCTAAGATTTATTTGTGCATACAGAACTGGGGTACAGGCCAGAGATGTGTGGGTGAGGACTCCCCGGAGACAGACTGGGGAGCAGAACAGGCCAACTAGCCAGCACACTGCTGAGGGGGCAGCGGGCGGGTAAGGGAGGTCTGCAGCGCCCTGGGGGTCACCTGCGGGCGGGGACTGAACCCGTGAAGCGCCTCCAGGGCACCTCCAGGCGGAGACCCAGCCTGGGCAGGGGCGTTAGTTTTACCTGCACGCTTTTTAGGTGCTGCCCTGACACGGCCTGAATTTTTGAAAAAGCAAACCAAAACGTGAGTGTGAAAACAACGATGGGGTTTCACGAGAACGCGGACTGAGAAGTGGGTATTTCCCTTTAAGAAGGAAATCCGTTTCGATCAGCCTGGGTGCCGGGCCTGTCAAGCAATCACGCCAACCTAAAAATACCTCGTTTAATCAGGCACCGTGAGGTAACTGCCATCCTCTGGCCGATAAGCAGTGAGGACTCAGCCCGCGGGACCCGGGGAGCCCGAGCCGCGCTGCAGAGCTGGTGACAGGAGAGTCCGGCTCCAGAGCAACGACGGCTTCACGGAAGCCGCGACACCCCGGAAGCCGCGGGCTCCCCGGAGTTTCTGCAGGGCGCGGACGCCTGAACCTGGGTTTGGGCGGCCTCAGGCCTGTGGCTGCAGGATGCAGCCGTGCGCACGCCGCACTGCCGCTGTGGCCCTCAAACGTGGCTCTGCTCTCCCATCCGTGATGGGGCCCGTCCTGTCCCCACCAACACCCAGGGGAGCGTCAGGTTTGAGGTCACTGTGGCCTGCCCTCGCCTTCTTTCCCACTTCCCTTCCACAGGAGGCAAGGAGTGCCTGGCCTTCGGGGACGCTGAAGGCCAATGTCCTCTCGGCTGCACACGCTCCTCAGGACGTGACAAGCTGACCGGAGCACCTCTGAGTGCTGAAGTGGCAGCCTGGGGCTTGCCCACTGGGGCCCCCGGACTCGGCCCCGGCCCCTGCAGCCTTTACGCATGCTGTGCTGTGAGGATGGAGCAGGCCTGTAGCCAGAAAGAAAGCAACACACCGACACCAACAGAGCCGCCTCCACTTTAATTGAGTCAGCAGTAGCCCTTGGGGGTGCAGCGAATTTTAACTGGAAGACAAAACAGCTCATAGGAAAGTCAAGAACTTCAAGTGCAGTTTTAATTTACTGCATCCTGAACATCCCGAGAGCCCCACATTCGTGTGTCTGGGAAGGAAAGCACTTTGTTTCTGAGAGTGAGCAGGTGCTGGAGCTCCTTCTGGTCTCCTCAGACCCTCACCAACAAAACAGAACAGAACAGAACAAAAACCACTAAAAGGGCTAACAAGAAATGCAAAATAAAAAAAGAAAACCTAAATAGTATGAAATTAGTTTTTATTTTTAACCTCAATATAAAGGCTTAACATTTCTCCAAAATCGAAACTAAGGATGAAAATAGGGTGAAGCTCTCTCCCGCGCCGGGGAGACCAGTAAGGCGGGCGCCTGGGCCGAGGGCGCTTCCCACAGCACTAGTCTAGCAAACAAACACCTCTCCCCAACTTCCCCATGGCGCCTGGCAGGCCCACAGGGCAGGGAAAGAAACAGCCCCACCCCAACGAACACAAACAAGGGCCTGGGAAGGGAGGGAAAGTGGCTAAGGTGACCAGTGTTCATCTGGAGCCCCCGGAGACCGAGACGGCGCTGCGGGGCGCTGCGGGGTCGGAGCGCCGCGTGTAGGCGTCTCGCAGCCGCCAGCGGCCACCTGGCCGTGGCGCGCTCACCACAGGGACGTCTTAAAATTGAATTTCAGCTTCAGCAGATACTTCAAATTTACCTGAGCAATATCGTAGACGATGTATCTGGAGGGGGAGCGAGTCAAGGAAGAAGAGGGCCCCAAGGGCAAAGGACGCCACCCCCACACCCACCTGGCGGACAGGGCGCCCCCCAGGAAGCACTCCCCAAGGGGGCCTCCGGGGGTCACCAGTGAGTGGCTCGCACGCTCCCTTACAAGGGAAAGGATACTCGTTATACAGGAGGCAGGTGTCGTTCACCCCGGAGGGGATCCCGGTTCCCAGGGGAACCTCTACACCGTCCATAGTAACACTCGCCGAAGGGTCAGGGGTAGTCTTGCCCAAACCTGTAAAGCGGTGACAGGTGTCGAAAATACTCCCGGTGCTGTATTTCACGGGGGGTCGGTGTGCTCCTCTCGCAGACACAGGGTCCCACGCGACCCTTCCCGAGCCGAGGCTGCAGCCTACTGCACTGAGTCCTCAGGTGTCAGGCGTCACCTTAATTCGCCTGAGGACCGGCGGCTATCCCCCTGCCGGGACACGTCTGCCGAGCAGCGCCCAAAGCAGTCGCTTCGACCTGGGGCCCCCCGGAGGTTCTCCCCCACACGCCCGGGAAGAGGCCCCTCGGCCGCAGAGCAAGTGCTGGGTTAGAGCTCAAGCCCACGGCGCTCCCGGCGCTGGGCCGCGACTCAGCGGCACACAGGTCACTAGCACAGCCGGGAGTGGCGTGACATGTCCAAGCCCTGGCAGCTAGCAACAGGGAGGCCACCTTTGGGGAGCAGCCCTCTGCCCGTGCCCCCGGCGCGCAGCGGCTCCGAAGACACCGTACCTTTGACGCTGTGCTTGCCCTTGGGTAGCTTGCTGATGTGCGAAGCGTGCTTCAGTTCATACCTGGTCAGAGAGGCCCAGCGGCCCAGCCAGTCAGAGAGCGGACGCCCACGGGCCCGTCCACCTCCCGTCCCCTCCCGTCCCGGAGTCAGAAGGGGAAGGAGCGAATCTTCTTGAGCAGAGCTTGTGCCACTGGTCCCTGCTAAGGGCCATTGGCAAGGGCAGCCCTGCTCAGGGAGGCTGCCTGGGAGGTTCCTGTGTGCTGCACAGCCCCCGGGCCCTCCCTCCGGCTACTACAGGCCAGTTACAGGTGACGCGACCCAGACGGACGGTCCATCCAAACCGGGCCACGATTTCTCTGTGGGGGACGTGGAGCGGGAGCAAGATTCCATTTGGCCCCCGCTGAGGTCACAGTAAGAGCTCACCACCAGCAGGGGTGGCGGGGTGGCCTGGCCCTTTACGCCGCTTAGCCGACCGGTCACAGAGCGGACAAAGAACGGGCACGGCCAGTCCGAGACCCGGGGGTCCTCGGGCTCTGTGAGCACGACGGTCTTCACCTCGCTCGCTCGTCCGAACTGGCTTCTGCTCGCCACCCCTCACGGGCGCGGCCTGGCCGAGGGCACAGAAGTCCCGGGCTCTCCCCAGCCAGGGGGTCCTCGCAGCGCACCCCAGGCACCCGCACGCGCCAGCGGCCGCGGCCAGCCTCACTCACATGTTTCCGAGGGCAACTTCTCCCAGCAGGATCAAGCCTATCGGGTCTCCCTGAGACGTGTGGCAGTAGTTGGCGCTCTTGGAAACCATGTCAGCGAAGTAGATTCCTTTGCCGAACATGTAGCCCGTCTGGAGGGTTGGAAAGGGCAGAGAGCCGTGCTGACGGGCACCGGCGGCGCTGCCCGCTCACTAACCCCGAGCAGGGTGGACTGCCCGCTCGGCGCCGTGCCCGCCGCCAGCCCAGCACGGGGCGCCGAGGCTTGGGCTGGTAAGGGGCCAGGCCGTCCAGCCCCCACGGGCTGGGCAAGAGCCTCATGGACCGCTGCGGAGGCCGCGCCGGCGAGGGCACGCTCCCCGAGGGCGAGGGCCCCAGCGCCGGCTCCCTGCTTGCCACCACAGAGAAGGGCCCGAAGAGCCGGCTCTGAGGGTCACTTCTACGGTCCAGCAAGCGCCGCCGCCGCCCCTGCGCCCGGCCACGGGGCTGTTCACACGTGGACACAAGCCTTCCCGCCATAGCAGGGAGTGCGCACGTGCTCGCCAGGGCTGCAGGGACGTCCCCCGCGGACACGACCGCCGACCGCAGGGCCGCCTCCGAGCCCGCCCAGGCCGGACCTACCACAGGCGCTTCCGGCGGCGCTATGCGCAGCCCCTGGGACAGGATCCCGGCGAAGTTGGTGGTCCTGGACCCGTGCCACAGCAGCCTTCGGTTATGCAGCTGCCTGAAGGGCTTGTAGCGCTGGCTCTCGCCCTCACGCTCTATCTTGAAGATCTGAGGGGGACGGGAAACGAAGGAGAGCTGAAGGAAGCCGAGCAACCGCCCACAGCCGGGCCACGACCGGCCGCAGGCCCCACGGAGCTCACACCGTGAGCCAGGGAGCAGCCCTGGCACTTTGCTTTGGGCTTCGGTGGCGTTTCCCACTCTGAATCAAGGTTCTGGGGGGAAATGACCTTTCAAAAGCCACCCCAGAACCGCAGACTGGCAATTTCTGCTCAGCGCACGGCTCGTCTGCCCGCTGCGGGAGCGGCAGGAAGACGCCGAGCACACAGGCCGCGGGGCCAGGGAGGGGGCGCTCACATCGACGACCTCCAGGTCGTAGGCGTTGTGCGTGGTCGCGTGAGTGTTCTTCACGTACTTCCTGATGGTCTCCGCCTCTTCGGAGTCTTTGTCCACCACCTGGAAGAGCGGCGGCGTGAGCAGGGGCGGGAGACCGCAGGAGGCGCGGAGGCCAGGCCGGCCGGGCCGCGTCCAGGCCCAGCTCCCTGGGCACCGGCTCCAGCAAGGCGGTCACGGCGGGATCGCGGGTCTTTTGTCTTCCAGCTCGGGACTGGACTCACGGGGCTCTGTGACAGAGAGCTCGAGAACAAGGAGCTGCCCGCCGGGCCGGACAGGACGCCCAGCCAAGACTGTAAGCGCAACCTTGGCAGGTAGCGGTGTCGAGGCGGGGTGGATGCTACCGCCGGAATTCTTACCACAGATCTCCAAAAAGAGATCCAATCATATTAAGGGAAAATAAAACCTTCCGGTCAGGCCCCTCAAAAACCTGTCTGCACCAAATGGAGGCCCTGGCTTCGAAGCCCACCTCGCAGACAAGGGGCTCACCGGCGGGCAAAGTGCCCCAAGGTCCCCAGATGACCAGCAGCCCCCCGGGAGCTGCCGGAGGCTCCCTGCTGGGGTTGGGGCCGCTCTGCTCTCTCAGGAGCTCCTGGCCCGGGTGAGTCTCAGGGCCGTGGCCCTGGCAAAGGGCTGGGCACGGTGCAGCAGGGCAGAGCCTGGTACCTTAATGTCAGTCTTGAGCTTCTCATAGTTGACGTCCAGGGGGTCCTTGCTGCTGTCGTCAGACCCGCCTCGGAGCAGGCTGTAGGCCACCTCAATGTCCAGCAGGTTGTCCAGCATCTCCACCTTGGCCTGAGGGAAAAGAAAGAGCTGAGCGAGGAAGACTGACTTGCTACTTTGGGGACAGAATCCTGCAGGCAGACCCCCAGTCAGGGAAAGCCTGTCACTGCTGTCTGCAGGGAGCGCCCCCAGGGTTCCGGGGCACTGCGGGGGCATGGGTGGCCACCCAAGAGCGTGCTCCTCATGCACACTCAGGTCAGGAGTGGCCGGCCCATGGCCTCTTGGTCAGCGGGGAGGGCGATGCTCCTCTCCAGACTAAAGCAGCAGCGCAAGTCACACTTTACGTCCTGTAGCTGGAACCCCACTTCAGAAACAGGGGCCGCTGGCGGCTTTCCCAGCGCTGGCCCGGCCCCACGGATCACGACTGGCGTCAGAGGCTCTACGGGGTAGCGGCCAGGCCCCTCCCAGTGGCTACCTGCACGCCTTCGGCGTTGTTCAGGAGCGGAGGCTTCTTCATCCCAAAGTCGTGGGGGATCAGGGTGTAGAAGCGGTTGGAGAGGTCCAGGATCTGGGCGTCGCTGCTGCCCTGGGACACGGCCTGAAGGGGCCAGAAGGCACGGACTGAGGCGGCCGCTCCCAGTGCCCAGCGGTGGCTGGGCCTTCTTCCCAGGAGGGTGGGCACTGCGGCGGGGTTCAGAGGTAGCCAGTGACGGGAACTCTCAGAGCACCGTCCAGGGGCGCCACCCCCCTGAATTCACACTAGAGTGAATTCATGACAACCCTTGCCCCCCCCGGTCCCTGCTCTGCAGAATGGAATATAGCGTCTAGGTGGTGGGTTCATGCTGCTGTGAAAACTTTCCAAAACTTTTCATGACAAAACGCTTAAGGGAAAGAGACCCCGTGGTGCAAAATCTCCACCTCTGTCCCCCCATCTTTAATGCAGAGAATTCATTTTTCTTGCACCTGGAAGTTTTCCATCCAGGCTGCCAGGTGCAGCAAGGCTAACCCCGACTACGACCCCCCAGCCAGTCCCTCAGCACTGAAGGCTCCCCGTGAACACACGGGGAAGGGGGGCATGGGGGAGGCGGCACCTGGCTGGCACCTGTAGGTGGGGAGCCCCACGGCCACCACGGCCACCCTAGTGTCCCCTCAGGCCCATGAGGCGCGCTGAGCTGCAGCCGCCCGTACTGACGGAGACTCAAGCCCGCCCCCAGGGCAGCCAGAACTGGCCCCCAGGGTTCAGGGCCCCTTCTCCAGAGCAGCCAGAAGGGCGCTCGGCCCCAGTCACCTGAGCCCCGTCTCTGCACGGGCACACCTCCACCTGCACCCACCCAGGTGCGGCTCGGGGCTCAGGGAGCACGAGTCAAAGCAGGGACACCTTGACAGTTTTCTCCTAACTGGAGAATAAACTCATATGCAAAACAAAATCAACACGTTTGCGAAGTAGGGAGGACCAAGCGCTTCGCCCAGCTTGTAGGGAGCTGACGACCAAACTGCCGAAAACACCGGCCGCCCGTCACGAGAAGGCGGACGCCGCCGCGGACTGGACGCCGCGTGGCTCGGCAGTCGCTCACCTGCTGGACCTCACTGAGGATGGAGTACGCCGCCTGGATCTGCCGTTTGCTCAGTTTCCCCAGCGGCATCTTCTGGAGGTCAATCTGAGGGGACAGCAGGGGTTTGCCTTGAGTGCCTAGCACAGCACACGAGACAGCAGCTGAGCAGGCCCGGGCCCCGACCGGCTGGCCACAGGGGCACGGGGCGTTTTTCAAGAAGATGAACGACAAAGGCCCCCCATCTCTCCCTTTCCTCTTCACGCACCCACATTCTTTGCGCACCTACCCACAACTGTGCAAGCTCGTCACTCTGCAAGACCTATGCACCCCAGCGTGGCGGAGACAGTGCAGGCGAACCGGGCCAGCTCTCCACAGCACACCACGTGTCTCACGGGCCAGAGACCCCCGAGAAAGCATGTGCCCTGCCCCAGCGTTCCTGCGCCGTGCTGGGGCTGAAGGAGCCGTCAGCCATAACATCAAGCCCGGGGCCCTCCCTAGTGGCGCAACGGCTAACGCACAGCACTGTGAGGCCGCCGCAGCCCCTGCGCGAGTTCCATCCCCGGCCAGGGGGTGACCCCAGGACGCAGCAGACCCCTCCTGTCTCCCTGCTGCTCCCCTCAGCCGTGTGCTTTAGTCATTCTGTCTGTCGTGCTCCCCAGTCTGTGGTGAGTCCTCTTCTCTTACACCCCTGCACCTCTGGCCTATACTCCAGTTTTGTGTAGTAAATAAATAAATTTTTACAAAAAACCACACGGAGCCCAGTAAAGGCCCAAGGATAAAGCAACGAACTGCAATGACCTCATACTCCACCATGGCTTTCTTCATACTCTCCACGTCAAAGATCATCTTGATGAGGTCCTGCACCGGCGTGGGCAGCTTGGACTTGGTGCCAGGGTTAACCGTCAGCTTCTTCACGGCCTCTTCATCCTTAGGGAGAAAAAATAGTTGAGGCCCAAACAAACCAAGCCAAGGAGTGGTGACATTTGGGGGCGGATCCTGGCTGTGGATCAGGGATACAGGCTGGAGAGCCACCAGCGCAAAAGGGTGAGTGTTAGTCAGGGAGGCTTAACCTCCTCGCCTGCACAGAGACCCCGTGCTTATGTCGTCACTAACTCTACCCTGATGAGGAACCAGGTGCTATGGCCGAAGCTCAGGTTAAGGGAATCTGTGCGCTACCCCCGCTGTGTGAGAGGGCCCTTGAGACCGGTCCCCTCGCGGGCCTAGCACGCCCTCACCCAGGGCCACGATCCACTTTGTGGGGGTTTGTGGACAAAGGGAGTTGCCCTTTCTTTAATGCTCTTCTCCTATTGCCACCACGTGGTCTTCATCTTTACTCCGCTCGTGTTCCCATGTACTGGTGTGCTTTGTATGCTGAGCCAACCCCACTCCGGGAGAGCCCCACTTGGTCAGAGCACACAAATCCCAACAGATGGCTCAGTTCAACTTGCCGCTATTCCACCGAGATTCTGCATTTATGTCACAGGGCTGTGGCCCACTGCTGGCCTGTGATGCCCTGTCCAGTTCTGGCTTCAGGGCCATACTGCTTTCGTCCTGTGAGTTACTAAGCACGCGCTCCACTTACTGCGGAGTTTGCGAAGACGAGCAGTCAGTCGGCTGTGCCTGACCCTGACAGCGTCGTGCAATGCCGGGTGAGCGCACCAGGTGTCCTCCTTGTGCCAGGGTTAAACAGGGTAACAGCACTAAGGGCTTACCTGGCCATAGTCAATTTCCAGAGGGTAGAACTTTTTGGGGTGCTTGGTGAAGTTTTCGGAGTGCCAGGCGTTCCCCGTTTTCTCTTCATATAGCTTCGTAAAGTGCTCGACAGCGTCCTCCTTGGACGGCATCTGCTCCAGCTTGTTACTGCCAATCACGGTGCCCACACGGCCCCAGGACCTGAATATCCAGTACCTGGCGGGGGACGGGGTCAGACGTTACGTGGGGCTGCCTGCTCCTGGGGCATGAGTGAGCTTCCCCTCCTGCCGTATACGTGGGTGAGCAAGGAAGTCAAACGCCGCAGAGCGACACGACAGCTGGCACCTCGTTACCTCCCGTGACCGCAAGGATCAGGCAGGACAAGCCGGCGAAGCGCTCAAGTGTTGGTAAACACCCGGCATAGCGCCGAAGGACAGGCCTGGCAGCCGGGCTGAGGAGGAATCCTGGGGACTACAGACCTTGGTTCTCTGCACCAAACACAGCAGGTGCAACTGGGGTGTGGGCACTAGGGGGCCACGAACACTACTGATGTGGCCAGGAAGCGGCTGGCTCCACACACACACGGCCGGCACCTCCCGCCCTCGTCCACCCGGGGCACAGGCCGCACGCTCTCCAGGCTCTAGGTGCCTGCTGTCAGCTTGGGGTCAGGCAGCCTGTCGTAGTGCACACAGCTTAAGGCGCACAGAACACAGCCCCGTCGGGACCTCGCACAAACCCCAACTGCACGCAGCGTCAGGATGAAAGCCAGGACTTCCTGCCTACTTTGCAGAGGTTGACAAAATCTCAATTCCTTCTTCACTATGATTAGATCTAGTTTTCCAAAGGTCATGTTTTAAAATCGAGAGCCAGTTTTTGCCTTTTAAATCTCTGACAAAAGTCAGAAATAAACTCAGTAACAGTCCATTTCTTCAGGTTAAGTAGCCAGCCAGACTCCTCTCAGAGCAACTGGTTTTCATTTTAGAACCAAAGAGCTGAGGAAAAGCTAAGGAGGTGGGGGGAGCCCGCGCGGTCTCAGCCCAGGCTGCGCACACCGGGGCTTTCTGAGAGAGAATCCCCGGGGGCTGGGCCAGCGCGGGGCTTGCCGCTCGAGCAGGGCGGCCCGGGCAGCAGCCCTCCTGGCGGCCGGGCCCTGCCCCCGAGGCACCTGCTCTCCCGGTCATCCTCCAGCAGCTGCAGCTTGTAGTAGGAGTTGGTCCCTCTGGCGATGTCCACCAGCCCGAGGGTGGCGCTGAACACCTTCCCGCCTCTCTCCAGGACGTGCGCCGACGTTTCCAGACCTGCCGGAAGCCAAGCCCCTAAGCTCCTCTCCCAGCGTCGCCTGCGGCACAGGCCCCCGTCACCCGGGCACCGACGGTCAGGGGCGCCCCGGGAGACGAGTGCGCAGGTGGGGTGCGACAGGAGCCAGTCCCCCGGATGGACAGGGCGGCGGCGTGGCCCACTCTCCCACATTCTCCTGCTTACCAGAGTCGGGGTCAACGGCCGCTCCTCCTTTAAGGGTTAATTTCATTCTCTTTTCAGATTTGTTGAGCCCTTGAATGGTGAAGAAGTAAACAGGAAATAAGAAAAATTAAAAGGGGAAGGGGCTCCCCGGCGGCCCAGGGGCTGAGCCTCAGGCTGTCACTGCTGCGGCGGCGATAACCCACAGGGTGCGGCAGGCCTCCGGGTCGCCCCGCTGCCCCTCAGCAGTGTCTCAGCAGACCCGCCTGTTCTGCACCCCTTTGTTTCTGGGGAGCCCCCTCACCGCCCCCACCCCTTATGCACAAATTTCACACATAAATAAGTCTTTAAAAGAAAAGCTGCAACGGAGGAAAAAACCCGTGAGCCATCTCCACTGCTGTCATATGCCAACAGGCCCCTGCGTATCGCCTCCCTTCACCCCGAAGTCCCTGTCATTTTGAGCCCAGGGAACAGAGAATCGAAAAGTGGCCTGGGCAGCACCCAGAGACACTGCAGGGCACCCCAGAGACCCCACCCAGGCAGACTCGCAGGCCCAGAGCCCACGGCCAGCCATGGCCACCTGCATCCCTGGCTCCTGGCCCTCAGCAGCAGTCACCCGCGGCTCACCTTCCTCCTTGACGGGGCCCTTGCTCTTCTTGGAGAGCGCGCCCCCAGACTTCCCTTTCGGGGCCATTACTTCAACGGGCTCCACCTTCACCTCAGCACCCCAGGGGGCGAGGGCGTGGGCCGAGAGCAGCTCCTGCAGGCTCTTGGTGGAGGCGGCGGCGTCCCGGAGGAAGCCCTCGGACACCACCCGCACGTTGGCTCCCTTCAGCTCCTCCATCTTCTTGCTCATCTTTTCTACTTCCTCTGCTCCATCGAAAGGAAAGCAAAGGTGAGCGGTGAGATCGACACTGGACTCAGCCCCGCCGGCTGCTGCTTCCAGACCCCGCGCCCTGCCCGTGGCCTGCCCCTGCACAGCGTGTCTGGCTCTGCCCCTGCGGACGCCAGCCCTGTGCGGAGCGCGGCGCTCACGGTCACTGTGCAGCAAAGCGACCCTGCAGCGCACACACGACGCTTCCCTGGCCTAGGAGACGGCCAGTACGGCCCCCGGCACGGCCAGGC